AATTTTTTTAACGAATTCAATTTGCCCGAAACATAATATAATATACAATACAAATATAAATGTAGTGTATACGTATCGTATTGATAAAATTACCAAAGGAAAAAAATAAGTAACATATTTTATAAGATACAATGTAATAAACAACTGAGATTAAGAAATTGTACTTTTTGTGTTTGACTTTATTTTATTAAAGGAAGCTATCTTCGGGAAGGCGAATGTTGTGTACCAGTTTGCAATTGGATCAGGGGGTTGAATTTGAAATTGTTTGTAGTTATGAGCCAAAAATACATTTATTTTAATTCGGTTTTCTTTGTTTATTTATATTAGGTTTAAAAAGAAGCATATTATTTAAATTTAAAAAATTTGTTTATTTATTTTAAATTCCTGCGTTCCAGCAGGAAGACCAAGAATATGTGCAAAATAAGGTCCTTAAATTGACGTTTCAATATATATAGATTTTTTGTAAATCTAAATTTTTTTAAATGAAATAACTAATCCAAAAAATCATTAATTTCAATTAGTTTTTTATTATGTTAACAAAAAGGCGAATTGCATTTTTTTAAACAAAATTAAAAACATCTTTAAAGTATATAAAAAAAATGGGAACCATTTTTTAAGGACTTGGCTAGATCGACTTGGCTGTTGATACTGATTAAGTATAATAATAATAATACATTGGGTCGGAAATGACTATAATTTCGTTGCAAACTCACAGCCTAAAATTTAATATAATACAATGCAGTGGTATAAAAATGGTTTAAAAAATTTGATTTTCATCTAATGGAATGATATCATCGAACTCCTTACTCCTTTTTTCAAAGGACTTGCAATCCTATGTACATATGTATGTATGTAGTCCTTCTTTTACCACCTGTTCCGTGGGGCTAAACATACATATATACATACGTTCCAGCCCTTTTACATGTACATATGTATGTATGAAATTTTTATAATTTCACCCCACCAACAGCCTTGTATAAATTAGGACAATGACAATGACTTAAAATTTTGTTCCTTGCAATTCTTATTTTTAAAATTGGTTCCGCGGCTTTACATTTTGTTTTATTTATTATTTTTTTTTTTTTCATGTTTCATTACATTTTTAAAATCCCACCTTGTTCCATTTTCAACTGTTCCAGAGTAATGGAAAACTATGACAGAAAAATATGAAATGCCTCACATTTTAAATTAAGTTTGTTTTTAGAGTAGTAACCAGATTAGCCGACATTCACAAAATTAATAAGAGAAATTTATAAATTTTCAAGCCAATATCATCATGGAAATTTCTATTCTTATCTCTTATTATCGATAGTGTACCAAGCTCATCTTACCATCTCTAACGGGACTTTGTTTACTATTATTTTTGGCAAAACAAGAGAAATTAAGCAGAAATGCCGCCGAGTAAGCTAGATAGTCTTTATCGGCGCATGCTGATAACCAGGTTCTTCGAAAAAGGATGGGGCAAGCCGGAAAACCTGCGCCGGTAAGAAAATCTTCTGAAAATTAATAGGAAATCAACGAAATGTGTACGTTTTTCATACACTCACTTTACGTAATACTTGATTGATTTTGACCTAGTTTTGGTTATTTATTCGGGTCTCCTACTTGATAAACAAAGTGGTTTTACATTGCACTGTGACTAGTAAGCAAATGGAAGATTTTGTGGTATAAATAAGGTCCTTGAAGATTTATTGTTAAATGTCACGTTCAACCGGTGTCCCCTTATATCTAAAAGTCCTGGCACTTTGCACTCATAAAAGTGAAGGAAATTTCACTTTCTCTTCTCATCAATATATTCAAGATCTCAAGGTCTAAATCTACATTATGGACTTAATTATATAATAGTTTTATTTATACACCCTAGGATCTAATACCGATTTAGAACTTAAATTGTGCATGTCTTATAATCCTAACATATTCCCTATTTAATTGTTTCATCTTTGAACTTCAGGGCTTTATTTTCCTCTAACCCATCATCCTTTGTTATTTATTTAATATTTTATTTAATTTCCATTGCTCTTATTTAGTGGATAAGACTTCTGAGAGAGAGAGAAAGGAGACTGATCTTTGGTTTATGGTTAAATGTTGTGCGATTTTCTCGGGAATTTGAGATGCATTTATTCTTCTAGATTTACGATCCCATTGTTAATTTACATTTCAGTTCCCTTTCCACCAGTGGACGACACTGGATATGACTGCAATTTTTTATTCTCATGTACAGGTTAGTGGGAAGGAAGACAAGGAAGAATAACACTCGATAAGATTGAAGATTCAATTTGCAATCGCTACAAATAATGTTTTAGTTTGAAAATATCCCTGGAGTTCAATCGAAAAACACAATCATTTATATTTCGTTGTTATCAGGCCTTATCAGCATCGCTTTATCCCATCTATCCAACAAAACCTTCATTATAAATCATATTCACTTTAATTGTCTTCGTTCTACGACAATTGTTTCAGAGTGTTTCAGTTCCGAAAAATAATATCGAGTAGGGAATCATGTTTCAAGCTTGTGCCCCGCGATTATCCCGTGGAGATAACCAAAAAAGAAATCAGTGGCGAGAGCACCCTGATAGAAGGCCAATTCCTGACCCCCCTTGAGTTGCACCTGCCCGGCGTTGTTCCGAAAGCATCCCAGCAGGCCCACTTTCAGCTCTTGATACCGAACAAGTGGAAGAGCGAGAAGCACAAGCCGGTATGCATTCACCTGGCGGGAACCGGTGATCATGTGAGTACTCTCGATATATCCGTGCCCTAAAACGCAGTAATATAATGTCTGTTTTACTTTCAATAGAGGCCGGCCCCAGGGGATCGGCCATAACAGCAAATTTGAGAAAAGTGGGTCCCACAAATAGAGAAATCTTTAACCGTTTTGCCTTGCCAATTTCATTAAAATTGTGTCATCAGACCATACTTTTTGATAATTAATTTATTTGTACCATTTATGGGACCAATTTCAGTCATTTATGAAATTTACATTTAAACCCCAGCCTGGATTTTTGCTTACCATTTTAAATTGTAATTTTTCGAGTTCCACTGATTGGTGATTTAATATTTTGCAGTTTTTTTGGAGGCGTAGAAACTTTGTGGCCAAGCCCCTGCTCAAGACCGCCAATATAGGATCCATCATACTGGAAAATCCATTTTATGGACTGCGAAAACCCACCGATCAAACGTGAGTTAAAGTGAAGATTAATAAATATTCGTTTTTCTAATAGTAATTTATTTTTAGACGATCTAACCTGCACAACGTCTCGGATATCTTTGTGATGGGTGGATGCCTCATTCTCGAATGCCTTGTTCTGTTGCATTGGTGTGAAAGGAATGGGTTCGGCCCTCTGGGTGTCACTGGGCTGTCCATGGGCGGACATGTAAGTCGAAAAATTATAATTAATTCATTAATTACTTAATTTTGATATCTATATAACAGATGGCATCCTTGGCAGCCACCAATTGGCCAAAACCTTTGGTTCTTGTGCCCTGTCTATCCTGGTCCACCGCCTCAGCAGTCTTTACAACAGTGAGTAAAATTAAATTAAGGTAATAAATAAATATTAACAAATAATCTATTATTCCTCAAAGGGCGTAATGAGCCAATCCATCAACTGGGACATGTTGGAAACGCAGTATTTCTCCGATGGACAGTACCGAGAACGTCTCTCCAAGATGGTCACTGTGATAGACGATGCCTTTTCGGCGGGCCAGAGTTTCATCAAGAACTTTAACCAGTCGCTGCACGAGCTGAAAGAGGACATTAGTGATACGCGAAAGATCCAGGAGGATGAGAGGAACAGCAACACCTGTGGCGACATATATGAAACGCAGGCCGGTGGCAGCTGCCCACAAGATGCCGACAGTTCAATATTCCTAACCAAGTCCCTGAAGAACTCCAAGCTCGACTCTGACAACCTGACCATAGATAATAGTAAACAGGACCTTAGTCAAAAGGTTAATGCCATTGAAAAAGAGGGCCTGCCCAAGGAGCCGACAAAGTCAACGTTGACGAACTTGATGAAGTTTATACTCCCGCTCTCGGCGCAGAACAAATCGGATAAGATAGATATAACCAAGACGAATTGGTGGGAGAGGGAGGCGCTGCAGTTTATGCGCGGCATGATGGACGAGTGCACCCACCTGAAGAACTTCTCGGTGCCGTTTGACACCTCGCTGATAATCGCGGTGTGTGCCAAGGATGATGCCTATGTGCCACGCGAAGGCTGCTCCAGCCTCGAGGATATATGGCCCGGGGCAGAGGTGCGCTATTTGGATGCTGGTCACGTGAGCGCCTACGTTCTACACCAGAAATTATTCAGGTGAGTGGTTATTCTGTGATTATTTTCTGTACTCAAACTAAAATGGATTGCATTTTCAGATCCTGCATCATCGAGGCCTTTGACAGGGCCAAGAAAGTATATGGCAAGGACACGGGGGAAGACCTCAAATGTGATACAACTTATCAGCAATTGTTAAAGAAATATGACAAAAACATAAGTTAGGGCAATAAATTTAAGAGATTAAAACATAAAACATAATAAATAATATGTTGCCATATAAATATTTTTAACTAGTTTTATTTGTGTGCTTAATGATAATGATAAAATATCTATTGTACATATTAATATGATAAAATATAAAAATATGTATATTTTAGTAAAAGTAAAAGGAGAGGTAATTTTGTAAAATACGGAAAAAAGGAACCATATATTTTATATTATAAATCGAAATTAATTGATATAAGAATATATGAATTAGAAAAATATTAAAATAATGAAAACATTAATAATATTTATTTCTAGTAATAAATAAATAAATAAAAATATATAAATAAAATATAAAATTAATTAAAATTTATTTAAGCCTTTTTACCCTTTGGTAATAAAATTTCAAATTAATAGAAAATATTATTCTATACATTTTTAATAATAAATAAATGAAAATAAATTTAAGCTTTTTTCGCCTTTTAGCCATGTTGGAACTTTTCCTTCTTGGGCTCTGGTCACACTGGTGTTTACATTTTGTTTAGTGACTGAAAATAAATAAAGAAATTATATTAACCAAAGCTTTAGTTAGCCTGTAACTAAGTTCTACTAAAATGAATCCTGTTGTATTAGTTCTGTCTTATGACAGCACTATATCTCCTTTGGGAATAGTCGAAAGTAATTATATGCCTAAGAATAAGAAAAACTTAAGACTTTGTTACGATAATATAAAACATTTCATTTATTTCCCCAGACATTTTATCCGAAATGGAGCAGCCAAAAGAAACAAACTCAACAGAGAGTTCCCTGGATTGCTACAAATGCGCCATTAAAACCAAGTATTATAAAACCTCCATACACTTAGTTCCATTTACTGGCAAATTGGAAAACGTTCCAGAGGATATCCTGCAGGCAACGGAGGCCTTAATAATATACTTTAACCCAAAAGATGTGAGTAATCAACCACTTACAAGATTTTATTTAAAAGGATTTTACCTTCAGACCTCCTTTATCGACACCATTCCCAATACATTGTCCAAAAACGAGCAAATCCAATTGGGTTTTCTCTTGACATCGAGTTCTACGGGGGGAGAGAGCGGCGGCATATCCTTTGGAGAGCTCAAGGAGCGTACCAATTTCTTTTTCGACATTATAACGTTGAAGAAAGGCAGTAACTCTGAGAGCGATTCAGATGAGGGGGAAAAGGAGTACGAAGAAGTTGTGGAGGGTTTAAAAAATGTCGTTTGGTCGAATGTTACAATGGGCTCCAAAGGTAGTATCAATATCCATGATACATATTGCATATCATGAGAATCTTTTCAATTTCAGAGCATAAAGATGATATTAGCAATGATGAACTGGACAACCAGCTGAAGGACTTTGAGAATTTACTGCTCACCGCTCAGAGTTTACGTAATGATACGAGCTTAACGCGAGAACAGTTCCTGGACAGAGCTGAGCAATTTGCCGGCATAGTTTCGGCCATTTTAAACGACAATGATAGCGATTAATTATGATTTAACCTATTGGAAGCAAACCCCCTAAATTGTTTGTTTGTATTCATAAAAAATATTCAAAAAATTCAAATATTTTCTTAATTGAAGTGTGCAAATTCCAAGGGGTCTGTTAAATATATTTGGTTTTTATTATTAAAAGCGGTACATATTCTTCTTTTTGCCGAAATAACAAGGTATAAAACGTTGTTTATCTGCTAATGTATGCTTTGAGAGCAGCTTATGTATATTAAGGAATGAATAAATAAAGTGTGTGTGTTTTTTTTTCTTGTTAACTTTCAATCATAAACATAAAGATTCCGTTGTGGGCGATGAACAAATAATATTTTCATGGTTTCGCATTTTTCTGGAACGACAGAGAGATTAACTTGATTAACCTGATTTCTATAAGTTATAGCTTGCAATTACCTCATCGGTGAAGTCCATGTCATCTTTAATCTGCTTGGATCGTCGCTTCTCATTCGATGTCAGCAGCTGTGAGACCTTTGTTTGCTTGGCTAGATCGTAGGCTTCCTTTTTACTCCGCATTGCACAGTCCTCGAGGGTCTCGGCAGCCTCGAACATGCCCTGCCGCCGGTAGAGTGCCCCCAGATTCTTGAGAGTGGTTGTGACGGTTGGGGAGTCCACTTTAGCCGCCTTGTGCCATCCACCGTATTCGCCATATGGGGTATTCTCTCTGTTGTCGTATTTGTTGACCTCACGCTCCTCGGCCACCTGCCAAATGGGTTTGTTTTTGCTATCGATGGCCCCAAACTCACGCTCGTGGGCGCGGGTCAGCACCTGCTTGTAGAGTATCTCCGCTTCGGTGTATCTGCCCTGCTTCAGATAGCAGCCAGCCAGATTATTCTTTGTCTTGGCCACGTTCGGATCGTCGGGCCCCAGCTTCGATTCGTAAATGTCGAGTGCTCGCTGGTAATACTTCTCAACCTCGTCGTACTTGCCCTGGTTCTGGCAGAGCAGGGCCAGATTGTTGAGCTGCTTGGCAACGTCGGGATGGTCCTTGCCCAAAACCTTCTCTCGGATCTCCAAGGCACGCTTGCAAAGGGGCTCGGCATCTTTGTACTTGCCACGTTTGCCATAGAGGACGGCCAAATTGTTCAAGGTGGCGGCTACGGCTGGATGGTTCTCGCCGAGAGTTTTTCCACGAATCGACAGAGCGTCGTTCAGTAAATTGGCTGCCTCCTTATACTTGTTCTGAAGTGGCATGAAGTGTTTTTAATTAATGGATGTATAAATTAAATTAATCGAGGCGAAGCAACCTACCTGATCACGATACACGAGAGCCAGAATATTTAGCATTGTTGCTACATCGGGATGATCGTGGCCACTGGTCTTTTCGAGGTCTTCCAAGGCTTGTTTGCAGAGGGGAACGGCTACCTCGTACCTGGAGTTGCATATAGAAATTATAAAGAAATAGTTATAGTAAAGCTTATACAATATTATGTACTCACCTGCCCTGCGATGCATACTGAATAACCAAGTTGTGCAGTGTTCGCAGACGTGCTGGAATTTCGTAGCCGGAAGTCTGATTGGCAAACTGGCTGGGCGGAGTGGGAGACATGTTGTTTCTGTCATCGTTCTCCTCGTCCGGAAAGAGCTCCACCACCGGATCGGTGCGGGATTTCTCGCAGCTGTCGTCCTGGTCCTGGTTCTCGTCGTACTTCTTTACCGAGGCCATGAACTCCAAATGCTTCTTCTCCTCCTCCAGCTGGGCGACGAGCTGCTCTGAGGCCTGGAACTTCTGCTGCGTGTTGGCCAGTTCGTCGCGCAGCCAGGCGTTCTCCTGATGCAGGCGGCGCACCTGTGTCTTTAACTTTTGCTTCTCGGCCTCGATGTTCTGCATATGCGAAGTGAGAGCCATCATCACCTGGGCCTCACTGAGGCCCAGTTCGATGTTCTCGATGTTTTTTCGCAGCATGTCCGACTTGTCGTTGTCCTTCTGGACCTCGGCAATGCCGTTCATAATCGAAACATGTTCCACTCGCAAGGCTTCGAGGCCTTGGAGGACTGTTTTTGTATTGGTTATTATTTCGTCCTGAGACATTTGCGTCATTTTGCCGATTTTCTCGATTTTCTGCCTGCAAGAAATGACACACAAAACCGGGGCTATAAGTACATACTTGTCAAGGAGCCTTTATCCTTTTTACTGTAATGTGAATGATATCGAAATGAAGAGTGTAATTCTTATTAATAAATGTGTTTTACAGCCTGTATGATTTAATAGCTTTGGAGACAATCATTTTAACCGTATATAAAATGATTCAAGCAGCGTTAATCAATACGACGAAAAAGGAAAACTGGCATTGCGCATGTTCATATGGGCCGAAAAGTGGGGGGTTGATAATCGAAAACAAATACTTTAGAATATTCGATTTTTGAGCTAAATACAGGATGTAAATCGTAAATAAAAACAAATAAAATGGTTACTAATAAGATAAAATTATTAAAAGGAATTGTGGTTCATTAGGACTTTCTATAAGATTCTTATAAGATTGTGCAATTTGTATTGGGAAAAATCAGGGAAACAAATAAATACATTCGATAACTATCGAATATATCCTTGAAAAAACAGAATATTATTTGTAAACAGAGCCGGTTAAATTTACATACACTAACATTTCTTTGGGAGATATAAACTATGTTGTTTCTTGATTTGTACATATTTTCCAGAAGGGAAAGTTAATATAATTTTTCCGTCATATAAAGTGTACATACAAAAAAGTAATCGTAAAAATAGTGCTTACATCAACAGCAAATAATAAATATACGTAGAGGTCGAAGCTCTTAATACTCTACAGATAAAAAATATTTTATATATAGGTACATAGAAACTTCCAACTAGATTTAGTAATTATTATGTAGTCTCTGCCATTATATTGGCCTTTCGTCACGCACCTTTCCAATTGGAAAACTGGATTGCGTAAAAGAGATAGCAAAGTCGGATAAGACCTATGATTTACTCTATTCTTTATCAAGATCAGAAAACAGTTTTCGGCTGGGGAAAAGCTAAAAACAGTGCGTAACAGAAATACAAGTACAAGTTGCAGCAACACCCTCGGCTAGCACAGCAGCAGCGTTCACACAGAGTGAGTCATTTTATGTACATTAAATCTAAACCATTAACACAATAACATAGAGTTTGGTGCAGTCAATTACACTTCCGTAGCACAAATGAAAACCGTAGCGCATGCGAAATTCCTTCGGAAAGTGTCTTTATTATTGCCAACGGATCACTCCTCCGGGGGTTTATTTACGATTGCAAAATGGATCATATTTTCCAGCACAAACTTTTCCTCAAGTGGCGCTGATATATGTATGAATGTATTTACTTGCAACATACACACATACGCACATGTACTGTGCGTTCACCTGTATGTGTGACTAGAATTTTGCTCACAAAATTCAGTGTTAACTTCTTATTTATTAGCTATTTGGCTAGAGCTACCGTTATGTCGGCCTTTAATAACCTTTATTACTTTTTAAATGTTGTGCAAAGCTTCCAGTAGGCAACGTTTTTTATAAAAAATAACTTACACTGCAAAAACACTTCTAAAATAAAACCAAGAGTGTGGCCAGGCGTGAGATCTGCAACGCGATTTAGTATATTTAATAACTTGCAGCCTGGCCACATTGCGGCAGGGGAAACGGGGGAATAGAAACACCCACAAAAACTAGAATTTAATAAAAAGAATGTGAAGTCAATGTAAGTGTTTTTAATTTAACGGCAAGAGCATTACATTGAGTGCATATTTGATTGAAAAATGAAATACAGAAGTATTTGCGGGACTTTAATAATAATAAAGACACTAAACAGCAGTTGAAACTATGTACATAGATTTTCAAGACAAAAAAATGGATACTTATTTTGATAGTGTCAGGTATTTATATTAGAAAAATTTCTTCTTAATTGATTTCACTTATTTTATTGCAAAATTCAGATTTTAATTATCAATGTTTTTTGTTTGGTTTATTTATTTATTTGTTAGCTAGTATTATTAAGTACATAATGTATATTCGCGAGGTGGCATATTTTTGCATTCGAAATACGGTCGCACAATTTGTAATTTGTAAGACTTTTTAGAAGTCTCCGTTTTTGTTCTATATTTTTAATTTTTTACCGTATAAAAACTGAACAAAAGAGTATGCCACCCCCAAGACCGAAGGGGATAGGATTTAATACAGGAGTTCAAACAGGAGCGAGATCAAACTCAAATACGCCCATGTCGGAGAGGCAACAAATGGCTTTACTAATCCAAATGACTGCTACATCTTCGACAGGTAAATATGCAAACAAAAATAAACATCAAAACATAATACTTATTACGTTTATAAGCCTGGTTAGTTGTCTTTGCATTGCAAATAGTTTGAATAGTGTCTTCTAAGCCCGGACCTGCGTTTTATCTCGCGGGAACTCGGCTATAAACATATGTACAGTGTGCATACATTCTACATATGTATGAATGTATGTCTGTACATAAATGTATCTGATACATGCGACGCATGTAAAACAGGAATAACGTAAAGTTAGGGCATCTTTTGGACAATAATTCCAAAAACCGGTTTTTTAATTCAAATTTTTAAAAAGTAATAATTATATAATAATGAATATTATTCAATTTTATTTTATAATAACTTAAAAAATAAATGACTTTATATTCTTGCTATATTCTCCTATTCTCACTTTCCAATCTCATGATTCACTCAGCTGTCAAATGTTTTTTGATAAGATCTCTGCCCTTACAGATTCATCTCGCACCAATTTAAAGAAGAATGAATGCAAGAAGGGAGACGCCGATAGCGACGAGAGCAACTTGAACGAGAAACAGGAGGTCCTGGACACAAAAGACAAGAGTTCCGCGGAAGAAAGCAGCAGCGATGGTAAAAACAGCGACTCGGCGCATCAGGGTAGCTCAGGAGCCAAGCGCTGCTACTCAGACATAGAAGAGGACTACGAGGAATCTGGCGAGGACGTGAAGAAAAAGAAACGCAAGGATTCGGAGCATGGCAAGGACTTGAAAAGCGCCTCCCTGAAGCTCTCATCCAGAGTGGAGAAGGGCTCCAAGCTAGCGGCGACCAAGGGCTCGCCGTCGGGCAACAAAAGCAGTGCAACCTCCAATGCCGACAAGGAGCAGGTGGAGATTAGCAAGAATGTGGACATCGAGAACGAAACTGAGTGTAGCGATGATTACAAAAGTAACGACAGCCTGTACAACGGTGGACTCAAGGTGCCGCCTTTGAAGATTGTGATTCCCCAACAGAACTGCTCCATCGACACAGAAGGCAATGTACTGAGAACCGGCAAGGTGACTGCCTCTCGCAATGCGGCCCTGCCCTACGTGGTCAGCTCCAACAGCGACTCCATCGACACGGTCATAACCAGCCAGTCCATAAGCCCGCACGAGAGCCCCCAAAAGAGCAGCATTTGCTCCACCGTTCTGGACGACAAGAATATAAAGCTCTTCAATGACGAGAAGAACCTGAGGGTTCTCCGCAGTTCTCATCGCACCGGTGTCACGAGTGTGGAGCGCAGCTCTAATAACTCCTCCCCGCAGATGCAGAGCAGCTCTCCGTCGCCGGCGTCATCGAATCATGCCAATGACACGGCGGATGTGAAGCTATCCTACAGCAACATGACGTCTAGTCCCATACCGCAAGGCCATCAGTTCGACCAGGAGACAATCACCAATGTTCCGAGTCCCTCCACCTCGTCAACCTCCTCGTCGAAGGAAATAAATCCCTCGTCGAACGTGGACTTGCATCCGCGCAAGCGAAAGATACGGCCCAAGAACACGGATGACAGTTCCAAGAACTCGAATGCCAACATGGATTCGGGTGCGAATTCCGAGGAATCTCATCCGCACGATCATCCCTTCACCAACGGTTTCCAGATGTTCTTAAGCATCCGTCGCCAGATCGAGAAGAAGTGGAAGAGCCTGTACCCCATCAAGCCGAGACCTCCGCAGGGATACAACGACTATCTGCTGACGAAGAAATCGTACTTACTCAGCCGCAACTCGGAATCTCCGGCTGTGAATATTCCCAGCACTGTGCCACAGGCCATGACGCAAATCTATGAGGACCAAGAGAAGGCCAGGCGAGATTTAATCCAAGCGCACACCGTGGAGCGGGAGAAGCTCTGTATGAATGTGGAGCAGGAGATAATACGGGTCCATTCAAAGGCGGCCAGGAGCATATCTGGTCAGTCGGCGCCGTATTCTGTGTGTACATACCTAAAGGACGACGAGGTCTACAACCTGTTTACGCCGGAGCAGGATGAAAAGGAGAAGAGTGCACGGTGTCGCTTTAATGGCCGCTTGCTACTCAGCTGGCTGCAGGATGTCGACGATAAATGGGAGAAAATCAAGGTTAGTTTTGCTTGTTTACTAGAACTAGAGAATTTTGAAATGTAACTTTGCTTTTTCCTAGGAATCAATGGTGCTGCGTCATCATAACGAGGCCGAAAGTCTGCATGCCGTTCAGGTCATGGACTGGAATATATTCGCGAAACGAAATAGACTCTGTGACAATCCGATTGAAGTGAATTTGGAGCATGTACCAATAGTTTCAGTTGGCGACGATTTTGATACATTACCGACATAACCGAGAGATTGAAGAAATAAAGTTAAATTGTTACAAAATTTAAGAAACACAAAGGTTTTCTCTTTAGGGGTTCTAATTTGAAATCTGTCCTAAGGAAGTCAAAAATTAGTTAATTTTAATTCGGAAAGCTTGTCGTTTTTGACTTTCAAATTGGCTATATAATTTTAAAAATTGAATTTTAAATCAAAAGATCGGAAACAACCTTCACTGAGTTGTAAATTTCTGGCAAAAAATGAATACTCTGCAAGTCCAAGTAAATAAATCCTTCAGATTTAGTTAACAATTATAATTTATTCGTATTTATAACTCGGTCATCGTGCACTCAAGTTGTCAACAATATTTCTGGCATAGTTAACAATGTCCTGCAAATATACCAAGTTAAAAAAATATTAATTATCCACTACTAAGACTTTCCAAATCCTACCTCGCAGTTTTCCGTCTGTTTGTTTTTGGAGATAATTTGCTGGAGTATAGACAATATTTCCTTGCGTTTTTCTGTAGAAAGTTTCAGTTCCGAGTCCAAGGACAGAGACGACAGTGCAAAGAGTGTAGTTTCCTGCTTGACATCAAACTCTATAACAGGCCTCAGATTCTCCAAGAGCACAGGGAATACTTCTGCCTTGACAAAGTCATCTGAAAGAAGAATATAAAGGTATAGTTTCGTAATCTACTTGTATTAATTAAATACTTACCTCGGATATTTTTGTCGCGAGATATTGAAGCTATAAGAAAGGCTGCCTTTATGTAGATATTCGAATTGGAGGACTTTAGGCAAGGTACCAAGGCCTTGATACCCTTGATGCGCTTGAACTCTGCGTATCCCGGCTGAAAGTTTCGTATTAGCGATGAAATCGCATAAATGGAACTTCGCACAACATCTTCATTCACTTCACTCAAGTTTTTGGTGAGTACGGGCAGGAATTTCTCGGTTATGAGAGCATTTTGACAAAACGTATTATTCTGTGCCATTTCAGCAACCGTATTGAGTGCCGAAACTCTTATTTCATTTTCCGAATCCTTTACGTAGCGCAGTAAAGTTACGGTTCCTCCAAGCTTCACCAGGGCATTGGCATTATCGATGTCATCAATGTGGCTTCTAATAACATCTAGGCTCTCCAATTTGTCGTCTGTGGTGGCCTCTTCACTATTTAAAATAACTAAAGCTGCTTTCAGAGCGGTCGGAGCATCAGTCATGGCACTGAGGGCACTTTCCAAAAACTGTTTTTTCTAGAAGAAATAATAGATTTATATTTTAAATACTGTTAAATAATACTTGAACTTGATTGATAGTACGTAAATTATATTTATAGAATCTATCTTTTTATTGAATTTCCCCAGGAAAAAGCACATGGGTAAACAAGTTCTAGATGTTTCGACTGATTCATGGCCAAACTTAAGATTCTAAACACTTCACGAGCTTAAGACCTGGGAAAGGTCTAAAATGCTGTTTTAGCCTATATCTATGCAATTGCTTAATGAAAATGATATAAATTAGTTCCCAATGTTGTTTTGTTTACAAACCTCAACATCATCTGCCGCCTCGATTGGTTTTTCCTCCGCATTTTGGTCGGTATTTTGTACTGTATATTTCAGCACGTTCTAAAATATATAAATGTAATAAGTTTTCTGCATGAAAATTAAAAAAAAAGTCCATACCTGTAAGTTTAAAGCTCCTCTTGGTACGTTCGGATTGGCCATTTTCAATATTAAATTTGTTTGCTGAACACGAATAATTTTGTGTTTTTTTTGACAACAATTAGAGATGGTGCATATACGATATGAAGAGTGTATCGAACAAAACCGATAGACGATTAAGTTGTCAGGCAACAAGAATTAAATTCATTTTTTAATTAAAATAAAAACACATATAATTTATTCAAAATTAGCAACGACTTTGGTCAATAAATTATTAAATGAGCAATATTTTTTAGTGGGTATAAGGATAACCACCTGTTGGCAGTCTTCGCTTCTTGCAAAAGGCCGCGTTCCAATTCCGCGTTCCGATTTACGCTACAGTCGTGTGAATAGGCCTCAATCATATGTTTACAGTTCTCGGTGGAAAGTTGATAAAAACAAAAAATATTACAAATAGAATTAGCGTCGTCGGTAAAAAATGTTACGAGACCTCATAACTTGGGTTTTGAATACATATCTTGGCAAATATCTGGAGAATCTGAACTCGGCCCAGCTCTCGGTGGCGCTGCTGTCGGGTAATTTTCCTTTAGTGATATAATTGTTTATCTTTATTTTGCATCAGTACTTACTGCTATTTTCCCCACCTAGGCGAGGTCGAGCTCGAGAATATACCCATACGCAAGGATGCGCTTCGCTCTTTCAATCTGCCGGTGGAAGTCACCGCCGGCAGCATTCGCAAAATCAAGCTACAGATCCCGGTTCGTCAGTTCCGGACCTCGCCCTGGTGCATCTCGATCGAGGGACTGTTCTGCATCATTTGCCCCAAGAACCTGGACAACTGGGACTATGAGAAGGAGAAGCAGCAGGATCTGGAGTACAAGCTAGCCGTGCTGGACACGGCCGAAGCCGGCTGGCGGTCGGAGAAGGGCAAGCAAATGGAGTCATACTACTTCTCCTCGTACAACAACTGGCTGAAGTACGGCACCAACATGGCCACCAACATCATCGACAACATCGAGCTCAAGATATCCGACGTTCACTTTCGGTTCGAGGACATTGTGGAGACCGGCAAGAGCAAGATATGCACGGGCATCAGGATCGGATCCCTGACCGCCCAGAGCTGCGACTGTGATTGGACCAACGGGTCCTACAAGATGAACAACAGCGAGATGAACTACAAGCTGGTGGAGCTCAAGGAGCTGTCCGTGTACTGGGACCTGCTGCACGACGACATCAAATGTCAGTCGTACTCCAACCAGGAGATCCTCGAGAAGATGCACTCCACCTGCGAACTGAGGCCACATAACTTCATCATCAAGCCCATTTGCGCGACGGCGCGATGGAAGCGCGACAAGTGCCAACAGGTGATACGAACCAAAGACAAGCCCAGGGTCTCTTGCGAGCTCCTGGTGCCCGAAGTAGTGATAGACATATCCAAAGTCCAGCGAGTGCAGATGTTAGATAAGCTCTCGGAAGTTCGCCACGTGCGCGAGGTGCGGCAGTACAGACTGAGGCGACCCAACTGCAGCGTGGCGCTTAATCCGAGCCAATGGTGGCGATATGCCGTCGCCTGTCATGGCTTCGACTTCAAAAGCAATGAGGAGAAGTGGGCCACCCTGAAGGAGAACCTCCGCTACATGCTGCTCTACAAGACGATCATCTTGAATCCGAATGAGAATCTGTCCAGCGACGACAAAGAGTTCAAGGCGTACATCGAGGGCGACAGGAACATCACGGACCTGACCGTTATGCGAAGAATTAGCTTCGAGAAGGTCTTCACCAAAGGCTTCTCCTTCGAGTCGCAGGACGTCAAGGGGAAGAACATGCTGTTCCATTGGTTTCCCAACTGGATGGGCTGGTATGCCAACAGCCCGAGCACTCCCAACGGCGAGCAGGATGAGTCGCTGAAGCACTTGGAAGACGACATTTTGGTGGCCCTGGAGAACTCCCTTCAGAACTCGTCGGACCTCAAGAGCGATGCCGTCTTCGGGCACTTTTCTATCAAGCTGTTGAAGGGCCTGATCATCCTGCAGACGGACGAGAGGCTTTGCGACGAGCGGAGCAAGTCCATGGAAATGCAATTTAATAACTTTTCCGCCTACCTTCAACTGAGCCCGCAATTGACTTCCTACACGGTGGGCGTGTCCCTGCAAGAGATCTACCTGATAGACAAGACCAGCCTGGATACCATGCACAGTTATTTGATTAAGCCGCAGACGGGGAGTGTCACGAAGAGTGTCCCCCTGGAGGAGGATATTCTGTTCCAGCTACAATACGAAAATTGTAATCACTTACGGTTTCAACTTAATATCAAATCGAAGGGCTTGGATCTTACTTACAACGAGGACGCCATACAGTGGCTCTTCGATTTTCTGGCCGACTCTAGTCCCGAGAAATACACGCCGCGCGATCGCGTCGAGGAGAAGACGGACTTTATGAAGAACTGGAATCAGATGTTCAGCGGGAATGAGGTGATTAGCTCCCAATTATCCCTTCTAATTCTCTACTAATACCATTCTTTTATCAGGTAAATCGAAAGACTTGGATGTTTGAAATAGAAATATTTGCTCCGCGTATAATTTTTCTGGAAAACTACAAAGTTACCAACTCCTTGATGGTTTTACTGGACTTTGGCAAGCTGGAGATGAGAAAGATGGAGGTTAAGCGAACGATACCTGTGATAGAATCGGCTGTAACGGATAGTAATCAAAGCGACGATGACGAAACCTACCTAACGCCGTGCTCAACGCCCCCGGCATCGGAGAAAAGTGGCTCAGAATCTCCAACATTACTCGAAAATCCCACGCTAGAGGAGGGCTTCCTGAACAAGAACGTTCAGCTGGAGTACGTCCTGCATAACAAGATCTATGATAAGTATCTTATCAACTTTACCAACCTGCAAGTTCTGGTCTGCAAGTACGAGGAGCGGTGGCAGGCCTGCCTGAAAACCTCATCGAATTTCCACCTGATTGATAAATTCAATATTAACCTAACCCTCGAGCAGAGGAACATATTCACCGTGGATCCCGAGTACCCATCGTTCATGCTCTTCGGCACCTGCCCCACGATATTGATCCACGGCAACGAGGAGCTCATTAACAATTGCTGCAACATCATGAGACCCATCATAAAGGCCTCCAGGGAAATGGAGAATATCTACAGGGGAGGCAACACCATATACGCCAGCGAACGAATCAAGAACCTGGCTGAGGATGACCGCAGCCGAGTGGTCATTGAGTTCGTGATGGACCAACTGGTGATAGAGATGCAGTCAACGGAACGGAGTATAGCCGAGTTGCAAATTATTGGAGCACGAGCTGGCTTGACCAAAGAATCAAACGAAACGAACATTTCGATGTCGGTTCACGGACTACTCCTGGTGGATGCCATACAGTCCTTCGGTCCGGACTTTGAGCTGTTGGTGGCCAGTCATCGGCACGTTGGGTAAGCTAAGTTTACTTTTTCAATTAACCATCAAAAGCTTGTTAGAATGCTTAGCTTACCAAGCCTTTAATATGATAATTTAATTTAATTTATTCAGAATGGATAGCTTGTCTGGCAGCCTTAAGCATAGTGCAGTTGTTTCGCCAACCTCGCCGGGATCACCAAATTTTTTCGATAGAGCTACTAGTCCGCACATGATTACAAAAGCAGTTCAAAATATTAAAATGGGTATGTACAAAAAATATTATGCAATGATTTAAAAAGCGTATTATTACTAAATTAAAAGCGGTATACAATTTTAACTAATACTACTGATCATTTTTGTTAAGAACTGTTTATTATTATTTTTTTTTTAAATATTAATTCATCTTTATAGGTGACAAGTCAACGGAATTCTGCGAGGATGAGGACTCCCAGGCCCTCATTTCTATTGACATTAAAATTGTGCCGCCAAATCAAAACAATTCGGCGCAACTTCACACAACCAGCATTACTTTCAATAGTTTGGATATTATTGGTAGGTATTAACAATTGTTTAATTACATTAAAATATAAAGTGTAATTTCAGCCAATCAGGATACGATTCTTGAAATTTTAAACTTTGCAAAACGTACACTTTTGACGCAGAATATTTTCTCAAGTGAAACCGAAGAGCTCAGAAAAGAATCAATGCTTGAAGAAAGACCAAAGGAGGAATTGGATGAAGATCAAGTTGATCAAAAAACGCATAATGAGATATTTTTCGACTTCTTTCGCTTGAATATCCTGTTGTTGTATACCATTAAACGCGACAAATTTAATATTGGGCGAAAAGTGGGAACTGTTACGTTGACAGAAGCCAAGATTAATGCATCATTTCAATCGGATCTGTCCATCTTTGGCTCTCTCGGTGGAATACAAGTGATTGACATAACTCCAGAAGCCTTTTGTCACCCGCGAATTCTTTCTGTGGGCCGAGACACAATCCTAAGGACTTCCGACACGAATAAGCAAACGGTTTTGAGTCAACTTTCAAACGAAATCTACTCAAATAATTACAACGAAGAGAAAAACGACGATGACGACAGCGATGCCATAAGCTTTCAAAGTCATTGGAGCGACAAAACCACTTGCACATTTCATATGCGAATGGCCTCAGCTTCTTATACTCATTGTCCCAGATTTTTAAGGGATGTAAATGCTTGTATAACATACTTTAAAAGGAGTTTGCGGTGAGTTGTAGAATCATTATAGCATTTCTTATATTATTATATATACATTTCTTATATTTAGAGAGTTTGCCACCTCGATAGGTAATAAAGCCACTGATATGGCTAAGGAATTTGTGCAACAGGTAAGGGCAGTCGAGCAAACAGGACCAGTTCATCCACAGCGAAATCGCCAGGACAATTGGTAAGCCAAAAATAAAAGTTCACAAAAAGTCTTATTTTGTTTTTTAATCTGTAAAAAAAATCATTTTAAAATTACTGTTTAAAAAAGCATTATTCAAATTTTTATAAAAATTAAAAATTATATTTATTCGTTTATTTTTTTTATATTAAAAGTGAATAATACGGAGTAGTACTTTTATTTTAATACAATTAGAAAATAACTCTTATAGTATATTTACACCGACGTGAGTTACCTGAAATATATATAAATTTTTGTATTTTCTTACAGGCTTGATATTATAATTAGCAGTCCAATAATTATTCTACCAATTTCCAACACAAGTACAAATG